TGGCCATAAAGTCAGCTCAACAATAGTAGGATCCACTTATTCTTTCACGGAGAGTATTTATGCCCTGTCCCATCATTTCTCCTCACCTCCTCGGTACTGCCTCTTGGTTACACTATACCCATGTACACATCTTCTGCTTGTTGGGTCCAGGTTCTGATATGAACATTTTAGCTCCCCCTTTACTGCGATGAACACATTTTCCATGATTCACTTCTGAAAGGTATAGGTTCCCTTTGGGTTATGAACCTAAGTCTCTTCAGAGGAGCCCCAAGGGGTTCCCCTTTCCTAGTCTGCCTAGTTTCTCTCTTCCTGTCCATCTCTAGTCTCTAGCTGTTCACTCTCTTCCCTCCCCCTTCTCCCCATCCTCCTCCCCACAGTACTTTAGATAAAAGTATCCTTAATTGCAGTCATTTACAAGAACTGTTTATCTTTTAGGCTCAATTAGTCATTAGGTTTATTAGGCTCAATTTCCCTGCACCACCATAACAATGATATACATTATTAAATGTAGTCAGAAATACATCCTTTCCCCTCCTGGCTTCTCAGTGGGTTCTGTCACCATTCAGAGCCCCTTCCTCTGTTCATTTCAGGTGATGGCCTAGGCCTCTTGACAGGCTTTCAGGTGGGTCTCTAAAACCTAGAGAGGCTGAAAAGGAACCTTGGAAAGCTGCCTTGCTGTGTTTCCACTTTCTTAGACATAGCCCGTTCTATATTTGAGGCACCAAGGGAAGAAAGCCTTTTCTTAGATGGTAAAAGATCATTGCCTGCAGAAGTATCTGAATATCATGTAAAGCATTTGTTAGTACAGAGCTTCCCAACTCCCCTCCCCCTCCAACATTGTGGCAAACACAGAAAATGAGGTTAACGGAAGAGGCTGAGCAGCCCTGGTGGAGGGTGCTCTGACTTAGCCATCCAAAATTTTGAGGGGATCAATATCTTGGCAGGCTTTGGCCTATCTGTAGCACTCCTGTGTGTCCTGGCTCACCAGTTAGGAAGTTCCAAGTTATTGGACCATTTCTTCTGAAGAACAAAAAAGCATTTTTATATTTAATGGAATTTCTTTTAGGTAATGAGGGATGTTAATATCACTTTTTCTCCAGTTTTCTAGAGAGATTTTGAAACTTCTTAAAAATATGAAGTTAAAGAAATTTTGGAGAATGCCTTATTAGATATTTATCACCAATTAAAACAATTAATTTCCTATGTTCAGTGTTTTTAAAATGAATTTTTCTAAAATGTTTCTTCTTATCAATGAATCATTTCTATACCAAAACATAAAAGGCACTGGTCTATGAAAAACTGGACCAATCTTGCTAATGGGCAGGCATATTTTTAAAATAAAAGCTTTGAATTTGGAAGTTATAATATGAAATTGACAAAAAAATTTTTTGATCAGAATAAGCCCCTGCTTGCTGTACTGTGGGAGTTAATGAGATAGATAGTGAGATTAAATAATTTGTTGAGATGCTCTATTTGCAGACCCAACCAATAGGCTTCTAAATCAGGTTTTTGCAAATGAAAAACCTACTTGGGCATTTTAAAATCCATTCATTATTGCTTACTTCTTGATTTTTGAAAATTTGGCCCAAAAGGGTTTTAAAGGAATACAATTGAAAAACAAACATATCCCTCATGTGTATGTTTCTCTTGAAGAATGCATTCATAACATTTGTCCAGTGGGGGAGTAAACACCACTTTGTGCTCCCTCCCGCTGCAAAAACCCTTAAAAAAACACAAAAATTTTTTATTATAAGGGGAGAATTTCATGGATGATTCACTAACCTGTTCTGACCACAACTTATTATGGTTAGAACAGGCTAGCTGGTCTGCTCGTTCCATCCACTTGGTGGCGTGAGTGGCACAGAAATACCACTGACCCCACCCTGCAGAGCTGTGGTTCCCAACTCGGCTGCACATTAGAATTGCCTGGGGAACTTCCCAAACTCCCAACACCCAAGTTGCATCTCACATCAATGAAATCACGATCTCTGGGAAATAAGACCCAGGAATCAGTATCTTGAAACTCTCCAGTGATTCCAACATGCAGCCAGGGCAGAGAACCACTGCTGTAGATACACTTACATTGGTTTGACTGATAATCACTGTCGTCTTCTCAGGACTTCTAATATTCAAATTCAAGTTAACGTTATCTTTCATTCAAATCACAAAAAATTAAAATCTTTCCCTTCATGTTCTTTATTGATGACAATTACATCTTATACCTGCTGGACATGAGATCACAACAATCTGCTTTAACTGTGTATTGAAAATAATACTGCACCATATGTGAAACTTAAAAGATACACATTTGCATTTTGCCCAACACATTCACTTTGTTAGATCATTTTAGCACAAAAGTTACAGAGCCAGGGCTTCCCCATGGGAAACACCTTTAATTCCCTGAAAGTAAGGATTCGGGAAATGATGGCAAGACTTTCTCAGTTGTCACGTGTATGTAAAGGGATAATGGCTAGCATCCAGCAAAACAAGGACCTCACAACATAGAAATGTGGATTTATCGAAGGGATTTATAAATTTTAAATATTAGACATAAAAATTTCAAAGTTTGATTTTTAAAATGTGATTTAAAATTTAATTAAAAATTGATATAAGAAATATATCACAATTGAGCTGATTCTCCCACCCATGGACATTTAGGTTGTTTCCAATTTTTCACTATTATAAAATGATGTCATAGATCTATAAATATTGGCATGAGAAAAGGTTTGCTCTATAGTATTAAGGGAGAAAAATTAGGTTATAAAATGACATTTAAAGTTTGCTGTCTTCTTTTTTTGGTGAAAAAAATATGCAACTTTGAACAAACACTTATCAAAGCACATGTTTCAGTCAATGTGCAATTCACTGAAAATACAGACATCTCCCCACCTACGCTGACTTCCTACAGGGTGGAGATGCTTCTTCATATACACTCTATAAATAATTGTTAAATGGAATAGAATATTTTCCATTTCTAGAATCTGCAACCAAGTTCCTGTTTTGTAAGAAAACATGCTTTGCTTCTCTCTGAGCTAAATTTCCAACCAGATAGTTGAGAGGAAGAGATGTTTAAGGGAGTAGAATAGGATTAGGGACATATTTGGGGTTTGAACGGCTTGATTAACGCATATGGTCTCATACCTTTTAGTAAAGGCAGAAGAAAGGTCATTTACTAAAGGAATGGCGTGGAAATTAAAGAACTGAACACCTTGGGGGGAAAAGTTCTATGCAAGGTATACAAATAAATAAATAGAAGTCATAACAAAGTGTTACATAGGTATATTTAAATGAATTTTGGAAGACTTGTGAAGGTCTAGTTGATGTTGATATTGGGGGGGGGGGCAGGTCTCAAAAATCCCCAATGGTCATGATCCAATGTCCCAAGTAATTAAAAGGACTTTTGTGTCCATGTAAAGCCAGAGAGAGGAAAAGAGCAAACTGTTTGGACACTGAGGATGGCAGTCCCCCAAGGCGGTTCTCCTGACCCCAGCCCACATCGCCCCATCTAAGAAGGCCCGGATACCTGGGGAATGTAGAAGAGCCCCAGCAGGTTTGCCACGGCTGTGGAGATGCCCGAGCCGGTTGCCCCCACCACAGCAATGGTAGAGGGGATGTGCTGTGAGCAGTTGCAGAACTCATCAAGGTTCAAAGAATCAATTTTGTTCTGGGCCACAAAACTCAGGGTGGCCTCCAAGGCTTTAGAAACGGTGTTGCAAGTGTCGAATATCCGGTATCCCAGCGTCATGTTGGGAAGAAGGGCCGGGCTGCTGTTTATTTCCTCTATGGCAAATATCATAGCTTGTAACCAGCGAAACCCCCGAAAATTGTACCTGGAAGAAAGAAGAAATGGAAGAACATGGAAGGCTTTCCGGTCACCTACTTTAGAATAAGGACTGGGCAAAGCTGGGTTGGCTCTGTTACTTTTTGGTTTCATGACATTGGGTTCTTTGAGACTCAAGGTCCTCTCTGTAAATGGGGATAACACAGACCTCATAGGGTGGCTGGGAACAGGCGATAATTATGCAAAAGTCTCAGCATGGTGCCTCACAGAGTTAGGGAATAATACAAATAAAGACTGTTATTAGTAACAGAATTAATAACTTGTATCTGACTCACCCAGCAAAGAATTTGAGGTTCCTTGGTAATATAGAGATTTAAAAAGAAAAAGGACTAGGGAAAATAAAAATAGATTAGGATTTTAACATGTAGGAGCCCAAGAATAACCTCAGATTTGCAAAGTCACAGATTTAGACCACAAAAGTCCTGGAGGTCAAAGGGGAAAGGGAAATGGGTGGTGTCACCTTTGTAAATAAACAAGTAAGCAAATATTATGCATAGAAAGGTTGTTCACAAGCATTGGTTATTTCTGGGTGGTGGAATATGATTTTAAAATTGTGTGCTTTTGGTTTATTTTTACTTCCTCTTTTTAAAAAATGAGCATGGATTGCTCTTCAAAGGACATTGTTTTAAGTAAAAATCAAGCAAATTAACCCAGAGAAATAGGGTCAGTGACATAGTTTTATCCTCTGAAGACTTGGCTCAGAGTCAAGGCTCCAAAAATGTGCTGAGTCAGTGTATCTGTGCCCAAAACAACTCTGCAGGTTCTCCCTTTCATCGTGGGCTGTACTACTTGAACTCTATGACAGGAGGTGAGAAATACAATCTCCACTATATCGTTAGGGTGCTGAAGGTCCTGATCTAACTTTTAATGTCTTTTCTTAGTCATTTTCTTTATGGTTCTGTTATTTAATTATTTGTTTAAAATCTGAAAAGTTATGAAGAGATATTATAGAATTTTTCATTACATAAAACATCTGTACTGTTAAGCTAATTTTGCTTTCTTAATATAATACATATTATTTAATATGAAGCTTCTTGCTTGATCTTAGGTATGCATGTAGCACATGCACACCTCTGACCAGCAGGGTGCAGCAAAGGGGTTCCTGTCCACATGGGTTATGTGAAGGATATAATCAGGATCAGTAAAATTCTGCACTTAGTTTTTCTGAATTCATAAGAAACATGTGAGAATGTTATCTAATTTGTGAGCTCTCACTAGCACATAAATAAAATCCATTTTTTTTTAAAAAATAATCCTACTTTTCATTTTCATTTTTCAGCTACTAGGAAGACCAAGGAAAGTATTGGATCACTTTTGGAAGTTGCAAATCTCAAAATGAAGGTGCTATTCTCTCTTAGAAGATGGGTCAAGACTTGGGGTGCGGTAATGGTCTCTGATGTCCAGGTTAAGGTAGGTGATAATATACTTTGGAAAAATTTCTTTAAAAAATCAGGGGTGGGAGGATAATAAATTTCAGCGTGATTACCAATCACCATTTTTGAAAAGAGAAAACCAAGTTTGAAGAATTGTTTTGGGTTTGGTACAGCTTTTCTCCAACCACCCAGAAGAGAAGAGATTTTTGACTTAGCTCCTTCCCTTACCTGATACATTCCACAGACTCTGGCCTTGACTTTAGATCTTGATCTTTGGCTGCTACTCCAAAATGAATAGGAAAGAGTCCCCCAAGGATAATGTCCCCTTTCTTCTGAGCTCGCTGGTCGGGCCCATAGGCAGAAGTGTGCCAGGTAAATGCCAAGAGGATCAAACAGCAGCAATAAAGCGCCATAGTTCTGCTTCCTCTCCAGAGGGAGAGACAAGAATTGCTGAGGTTTGGTGCAGTTCACTCCTTGCGGTGGGGGCACATGCCTACAGAGTGATTAATAACAGAATGGAAGTCGTGGTGTTTGAATGTCCGTTTCTGCCGTTTCCATTGCAGACTAGTAAGGTGGATGGTCCTTGAATCTTTAGAAGCCACATCATGTAGAGACTGCTGTGAGCCTTTCTAAGAGAAAAGAGAGACAAAATGAATTCAACTAAGCCTAAATCTCCATCTTGTTATGACGATTGCAACAAAGGTGGCTCAGAATTTCTATTTAGAGAAGCCGTAGGGTAGCAGGGGAAGGCATGGTTCAGAATCTCATTTTTATAGCACCTCATATAAGATACAGAAAAGTTTAATTGCTCATGTAGGAGAAGGACTGTGTTCAGTTGTGAGGGCCACATTAAAAAATATATATATTTTATTTATTTCAGAGAGGAAGGGAGTAGGAGAGATAGAAACATCAGTGATAAGAGAGAATCATTGATTGGCTGCCTCCTGCACATCCCACAATGGGGATTGAGCCTGAAACCCTGGCATGTGCCCTGACCAGGAATCAAACCGTGACCTCCTGGTTCATAGGTCGACACTCAACCACTGAGCCACACTGGCTAGGTGAGGGCCACATTTTAAAGAGGCCATTGATAAGCTAAAGCCTCCACTGATGTTGCTGCTGGATTTTAATCCATTTGTCCTTCTGTGTAATTAATACATAGGCAATTGGCAATTCCTTGTATAATAATAATAATACCTTATTGAGCACATATGTTCTTATGAGTCATATTTAAGTTTACATCTGACTTTAAATCAAACAAAAATGTCACGAAGGCCAGTTATTCTTTATTATGGTAGCCTCCCTTTTTTGTGCTTCCTCAACACAGATCTCTGGTTACAATTTATAACATGACACTCCACAAACCTTTGAAGACTAGTTCTTGAAAAAGATGCAAATAAACCAAGAGTCCAGTTATGTTCTACAAAGCTCAACAGCTGGATCTGCTTTAGCATGGCTGTCCTAGAAGGAACTCTCTGTTCTTCTCACTCTATACTCTCTATTATCCACTCTGTGGGTCAACAATTACATGTTGATGTCAGCTACACAGCCTCCCTCGAGTTTCAGGCCCAAGCATCCAACCACCAACTGGACATCTGCACTTGAGTGTTCCACAGGTGCTTCCAACTTGTCCCTCCACCATTTTCTATCTCAACAAATGACATGCCATCCACGAAGACACAACATAAGGGTCATCCTTATCTCCTCCCTCTTCTCATCATTGCCCTTCATATTCAAACAAGCATCAAGCCTCGTACGAGTTTCAGGCCCAAGCATCCAACCACCAACTGGACATCTGCACTTGAGTGTTCCACAGGTGCTTCCAACTTGTCCCTCCACCATTTTCTATCTCAACAAATGACATGCCATCCACGAAGACACAACATAAGGGTCATCCTTATCTCCTCCCTCTTCTCATCATTGCCCTTCATATTCAAATAAGCATCAAGCCTCGATTGTACTTCCTAAATATCTCTGGAATCCTCCCACTCCTTCCCACTTCCAAGGCCATGTTAAGTCCACCAACATTTCTTACCTGGATTTCTGCAACTATTTCCTCACTGGCCTTCCTTCCTCCACTTATGTCCCTTTGCAACCCATTTTCTGCAACTATTTCCTCACTGGCCTTCCTTCCTCCAGTTATGAATTGAAACCCACTGTTGCAAATCATTTGAAGCCATGGAACAAGTGGTTTGGAGCACCGGCTCTGAAGTTAAATGTGGCTTTGAATCATAATTCCACTATTTCCTAACATATGACTTTGGGCAAATCACTTAACCTCTGTGATCTCAATAATATAATGCATAGATATCCATTAGCAGAGTGTAGCTAGTAAATTCACAGAAAATGCCAGTTGTAATGAGTACCTTTCCAGCCTCACTTTTTCTAAACTTCCCCTTGAACTCCCCACTCCAGCCATAGTGAACTTTCTTCAGATCCTCAAATGCACCAGCTTCTTTTATTTTTAAAAAAATATTTCAGAGGGGAAGGAAGAGAGAGATATAGAAAAATCAATGATGAGAGAGAATCATCCTGCACGCCCCCCACTGGGAATTGAGCCTGAAACCTGGGCATGTGCCCTGACCAGAATCGAACCATGACCTCCTTGCTCATAGGTCAATGCTAAACCACTGAGCCATGCCAGCCAGGCCACCAGGCTTGTTTTATATCCACAGACCTCATACATGATGCTCCCCTTATTGGTCTATCTGGCCTAAACTTTGTCTGGAAAACATCTGCTTATCTTTCAGTTGTCCATAACTTCGGAGGCATGGCTGAGGGGTAGCAGTGAGGAAGACATGGTGAACTGTGAGGCCTTTGTGTAAATGGAGAAAAGAGCTCCTTTGGGGGCAGACACAGTCCTGGGCCAATGTGAACCTATTGCCTGGGGAGTGAAACACAGGCTGGATTTCCACCTATGCTAACACCTCAGTTGTGCAATAAGCAATTTATAGGACTTTTCAAGGAGGCCTTCCCTGAACCCTCAGACCAGGTAGGTCCACCTGTCATAGTCTTTTATATCTTGGATCTTGGAGTTCCCTTCTTGAAAGACTCATCAAACTTTGTATAATTATATGCATAAATGTCAAGCTCTTATCCATTGTCATATGCACCCCTTGTCTCTTAAGATCCCCACCTACTCCTACAGCCATTCAAGAAGAGGGTGCTGAGCCCCACATGGCATGAGCAGCCCAGCAGATAGATACTCAGCATTCATGGAAGGGCCTCCAGTAATGTCTGAACAATACTGACCATCCCGGTTCTCTAACTCCAGTCCTGTTTTTAGATTTTTTGGCTTTATTCCTTGGGTCTTAGTCATATAGTCAATCATCCTATCTAATAAAAGAGTAATATATAAATTAACCATCACTCCATCACAAAGATGGCGGCATCCACTGAGCTGGAGCCAGCAGGAGGCTTGGGTTGCCCCCGGCAATGGAGGAAGCCAAGCTTCCCATCTGCCCTGGCCTGCACTGGGCTCTGCCCAAGGCTACAAAGTTTCAATTACAGAAGATAAATAAATCCCAGATACCTGATAAAAAAAAAAAAAGGAGAGGCTGGGAGCTTGGATCACTGGAGGGCGTGGTCAGCCTGAAAATGGCCATCAGTCCCTCACCCAGGCTGGCCACACCCCCATGGGGGGAGGGTCCCTGCTGGGGTACCTGGCCAGCCTGGGTGAGGGCTGTTTTCAGGCTGGCCACACCCCCATGGGGGGAGGGTCCCTGCTGGGGTACCTGGCCAGCCTGGGTGAGGGCTGTTTTCAGGCTGGCCACACCCCCATGGGGGGAGGGTCCCTGCTGGGGTACCTGGCCAGCCTGGGTGAGGGCTGTTTTCAGGCTGGCCACACCCCCATGGGGGGAGGGTCCCTGCTGGGGTACCTGGCCAGCCTGGGTGAGGGCTGTTTTCAGGCTGGCCACACCCCCATGGGGGGAGGGTCCCTGCTGGGGGGCTTGGCCAGCCTGCAAACAGCCATCAGCCCCTCACCCAGGCTGGTCAGGCACCCCAGCGGGACCCCCACCCTGAAGGGGCTGTGGCCAGCTTGCAAACAGCCCTCAGTCCCTCCCCCATGCTGGCCACCCCCCCACAGGCTGAGGGCCCCCACTGGGGGGCTGGACCAGCCTGCAAACAGCTATCAGCTCCTCACCCAGGCTGGCCAGGCACCCCAGTGGGGACCCCCACCCTGAAGGGGGTGTGGCCATCCCGCAAAACCACATCAGCCCCTCACCCAGGCTGGTCAGGCACCCCAGCGG